AAAAAAGAAGAAAGAAGCAATGAAACAAAAGCACCAACAACAGATCATCGCAACACAATTATTGACTGGCCTTTATTCGCAAACGGAACAGAAATATGTCGTTTTGTGGAGTTTTCACTGCTTTCAACCCGACAGGATCGGTTCTCTCTGAGGTTCCACCTTTTAAATAACCTAACACTTATCTACCAAAATAATATTAAAAACAAACAGAACACCACCAACAACAACAACAACAGCAACAACAACAGCAACAACAACAGCAACAACAACAACAACAAAACAACTAATGTTCACCATTACGATGAGAGAAGTAATAAGAATATAAAATAGGGCCTATACATATTATTATGTAATCAAAGAAAACAACAATGTGGCTTTAATTTTATCGTAACCATGGACTATTATAGTCACGCTATCAAGCCATAAATGTGAATTGAATCCAGTAACAAATTCAAAAATGAATTTGATATCAGAAATAATTTTTTGGAAGTTGCATGTCAAATTAAAAAGTAGAAGATGAACGACATTGCTGACTTTAAGACACTTTTGTTAGCATCATTCGGCCTAGTTCCAGATGGAAGACCCCCCCCCCCAAACCCAGGGATCTGCTTTCTTTCTTTTTTACCCCTGGAAGTGTGTAATATATTATTTATTTGATATCGAGAATGTTGAACACTCTTTTAAGAGACATTAGCATGTCGTACTTGCACTTCGACCTCCAAAAAACATTTCTACACTTATAAACTGTGTAGTGATTTAGAATATATTTTTTAACTTGAAGAAAAATAAGGTGGCGCAGAGACTCCAGGTGCAAAGAAAGAAGATAAAGGAGACGTCATTAATCAGTCTCCCAATCCGTCTGTATTTGGAGCTGCGAGCATGCGCATTGGAAATTGTTCCGCTCACATCCGGTGTCTCCTTTCCGTCCTTCGGTGGCTCATCTTCCTGCCCCGCTGATTTCTCCTGAACCAAGATGGCGGGGGATATCGAGTTTCTGGTGAGTCGACGGCTGAATGTGCCAAGCAGACCTTTGCTCTCTTTCTGTAAGCTGCTGGCGTATCTCTGTGGAGAGAGAGAGAGAGAGAGAGAGAGAGAGAGAGAGAGAGAGAGAGAGAGAGAGAGAGAGAAAGAGTGCTAGTATTATGCTGCTCTATCATGTGGCTAACGCTGTTTTGAACGTTGCAGGGCGTTCTTGCTCTTGGTGTTTTAAGGGACTTTACAACTTTCCACGCTCATATCTTAGAGCTCAGTCCTATCGGAAATGGACGTTATATTAGGAGTTCCTGCCTCGTAATAATTTCATAGCTATAAACGCGAGCGTTCAATCCAGACTACATCATTGTCTTTTTCATAAGGGTAAGGTCATTGACTATCTAACTACTTGCAGAACAATGGAATGGTACTGAAAGTGATTGGTAAAGTTTAGAAATGAGCAGCATCGTGTGAAACACACGCTCGTCAAATTAATGATTACGAAGAAAATATAATTAAAGAAAAGTCTTGGTTGTTTTTTAAGGCTTTTTTTCGCTCAACTTCGTTGATGTTTATTGGAAAACACATTTCTGTGTAGACTTTGTTATCTAACTAAGGAACAGTTCAGAGAAAACACGCACGCATGTTCGCGCGCGCGCACACACACACACACACACACACACACACACACACACACACACACACACACAAACAAACACACAAACCAGAAGGTTCATTCTTAAGGGCATATCCTAAAGCTGATCTCATCTCAATTAAAGAAAGACGAATATCTAATTTACGAACTGCTTAGAAACAAAAAAAAGAAAGAAAGAAAACAAATTCAAATGATTTATACATGTAAGTTTGGGCATGTCTGAATTAACTTACCTTATCAATGTAATGTAAAAGAACGACAACAACGCTGACGACAACGGAGAGAAGGGAGTTCATGCTGAGAACGTGAACATAGATGAGGAGAATAGACACACTTCTTGAAGCCCTGGGGAGCATGGAACTCGTGACGCTCAAGAATAGAGTCAGAGCCATGAACACAGTGATTCCTGCAACATAAAACAGAGTGAAGGAAGACTGAAAGAAAGGAAGAAGAAGAAAGAAGAAGAAGAAGAAGAAGAAGAAGAAGAAGAAGAAGAAGAAGAAGAAGAAAAAGAAGAAGAAGAAAACAGAATTTCAATTTACCACTTTATTGATTGGGACAGGAGTAACTTTTTGATTTATTCTTAGAAGCTTGGTTTGAAATAATTAATATCAACGTATCTTTAGAACGATAAAGCAATGTTGTTTTGGTATTTTCACTTCTGGTTGGGGAAGGATAGCTATACACATAGCGCATTTAAAAGAATGTTTTGTGCTTATTATAAAGACATCTAAAAACATATTCTTACCGAAGCTGACTTTCTCGCCGGATTCCTCGGGTATAAGGAAAACCATTATGTTGAGAAGCGAAAGGAATATGGTAGGTAGGACCGTGTTGATGAGGAGAAGCATGGAGCGCCTCCGTACGTTGAAGATAATCTGTCGGGGAAGAAGGACCATAGAATATTTGTAGAGGTTTGACAAAAACACAGGTTTAACATCTCTATTGACACAGTGTATACACTTTTTTGTAAATTGGCAAACATATATAAATGGCGTCGGCTGTATAGTGGTTAGACTACAAGTCTCGTAATCAGGGCCGTCGAGAGCCTGGTCGGGCCCCGGGGCAGCAATCACCTTCGGGCCCCTCCTCCCCCCGGTCTCACCCACCCTCACCTGCAATTTAATAACCCAACAAATACAATGTACATAGGCATATATAATCACATTGCTGTAACATATCTATTACATACCAACATACGCTCTCTCTCTCTCTCTCTCTCTCTCTCTCTCTCTCTCTCTCTCTCTCTCTCTCTCTCTCTCTCTCTCTCTCTCTCTCTCTTACACACACATCTTCATTACCCTTGGAAATGCATTTTGCGAAAGAAATGTTTGTATAAAAGCTAACCTCCCCCCCCCCAACATACACTCCAGCCTCCTTTGTCTCGTCCCCCTCCATCAAGTGCTGGGTGTTGTCAACATAAACATAATTTTTCTGATTTACCGGGCAGTTAAAAATGAAGGTAAGATGAATAAACCAATGACAGAAATTTAAATGAATTGCAATGTAGCATACCTTCTTTTCTTACAACAACGGAGCTTTACGGGATTTAGCTCTAGCAAAAGTGTCAATTATTGGTTCGTAGTCCAATTCTCGCGCTAGACTGGCCTCTATGGCCAAAATTCTACTTGTGAGTCTGTCTTGAAGCATTGAGGACCGCAAAATGTTTTTCACTCGAAAAATAGTACTGAAGGAACAGGCAAGGTGCAGAAGATTCTCAACAGGATTACAAGGTTTGGAAACAAAGCATTCAGTTTTAGGGAATGAAGTCTGTTCAGCAACTGAAGATGCGACAGGACATTTTCTCCAACGTTCGCTGACTGAATCACTTTCAAATGTTCCAACTCTTGCGCAAGGTCTTCTGATGCATCCACTTCATATTCCGTGTGCAATTTGTTTGCAAGATCACGAATAACGCCGACTTCCTCCTGAAGATATTTCCACAAAACACTAAATAACGAATCGAGTTTTGTTACTGCATTATACTTTGTCCTCAAATTTCCAAGAAGGCAGTAAAAGGGGACATAAAAAAAACTTCATGTTTGAATTTGTTCTGGAGATTTTGGCTGTGTGTTACATCTTCTGTCTCGTCTGCAAAAAGCTTCCTTTTCTTTTGTCGTTTTGTTTGTTTTGGCAAATAAATGCTCAATCTCATAGTTATCTGCTACTAATTTGGACTCACTCAAGATTGTGTCCCATTCATCTCGTAAGCTTTTCAGATCTTTAATCAGACTATTGATGTTTGCCACCTCAACGTCAAGAGTTTCATCTCGAGCTTGAAGCACTCTATTTCTGTGATCGACTGCTGTGAGAATTTTGAGCCAAACGGGTGCCATTATCACACATTCAAATGATGCCAAGTACTTAAGAAGACCAATCAAATCTGAACGTGTTTCTGTGGAGAGGTTCATTTGACGAACAGTTTGAACAGCTTTCCTCAGTCCCCCGATGTGAGCCCCAGAAGGTCTGACACTGTCAACACGTGCTGACCTACGTGTCTGAGACATACTGTGCAAAGAGCTGGGGATGTTTTGCTTCAAAATTTCCCGCCCTTGTGGACTGGAGCTAAAAGTGTTATACAGCTTCTGTACAAATCCAAAGAAAGCTATGACTGTTGAACAGCTTTCTGCAGAATGCTTACCACATAAATTCAAACTATGACAGCCACAGGGAGAGCATGTGTCAAGTGATCACTGTCTTAAAAAGTGAGCCTGTGCACCATTATACAGACCACACATGTTGCTACCGTTGTCGTGCGTAGCCTTGGCCTAGGGGGTCTGTAATTGGAATGTTTTGTTTTTTTATTCAGTGTATCAAGGATAATTTTAGCGATGTCTTCTCCTGTTTTCTTGTTACAATCTACACATTTCAGAAATCTCTCTTCTACTTTGTAGACATTTGTATCACTGTCCAAGTGAACATAAAACAAAATAAATATTAAAGACAGTTTGTTCAACGTGTGAAGAGTCTGGTGTTGCATCTACGATAGTGAAGTAATATTACGTGCGGCTCTTTCATTTAAAATCACGCCTGTCACTTTTGATGCACAACATTGGATGAATTCATTTTGACTTTCTGGTGATAGATAGTGAACTTGTAAGCGCCTTTTGTTCTTTTTTTTGATTTTTCAACTTTTGTAAGATGCTCTGCAAGGAAAGAATCGTAATGGCTAATCAATCCCAGAAGTCCAAGGAAGGCCTTCAGAACCTTCTGTGAAGTTGTCAGATATACAGCTCAACTTGCAGCTAAAATATGTTTTATTTCAAAGCTTTGTACTCTCTCTCTCTCTCTCTCTCTCTCTCTCTCTCTCTCTCTCTCTCTCTCTCTCTCTCTCTCTTTCTTTCTCTTTCTTTCTCTCTCTTTTTTCTCTCTCTTTTCCCCTTGCTCCGGGGCATTGCCCCCCCCCCCGACCCCCCCCCTCTCGACAGGCCTGCCCGTAATCATGAGATTGTGGGTTCGGGGCTAGAGCCTCAGCCTAGTACGACGTTTTGTCCTTGGGATAAACACTTTACACCAGTTTCCTATTCGGTTCTGTCGTTTCGGAGATGGACATTTAACTCGGAGGTCCTGCTTACGAAATAGCATGATAATGTTGAAATAAGCGTTAAACCCATACCATTTCACCATTTTCTCATACGGATAAGTGAACAGGATTTTTGGTGTTAATCCGTGTTCTTAATTTGTCGCATTTAAGTACGAACGGGTTATCCCGATTTTGTTTTGAGAAAATCGAAGGTAAAAGTTTTGGATCCTTATTCAGTTCCTTTAAAAGACAAGGACAGTTTTCTCTTTAACCAAACATATACACACACCAATGAAACCAAACTTCTCCTATAGGTAGGGCAATGCCCACTTTTAGTTTTAGTGTAAATCATGATTTCTGGAAACCCCCGTTTTTTACCATCTAGCATACGGCATTTGTCAGAATGAGCATAGATGTGTGTTGCTCTTAGAATATGTATCTGTATATAACTCCAAAGGTCTAGTATTTAAATTCCTGCATGTGGTTGAATGATGCATTTGATATGTACATTTTTTGTCAGCTTTACTTCTCCTTTCATATTGAATTTTAATGAGAGTGGTATATATGATTTAAATTTTTTAAATGTATACCTGCATGTGTTTTTACGGTCCTGTACAGCCAAGGAAAATGTCCCTCTATGATAATAAAGTACTATCTTATCTTATCTTATCTTATCTTATCTTATCTTATTTTGTTTGACGCAAAAGGTACACCAGCAACAGAAACAACATCCGAGGGTGGATGGATGTCGCCACTTATAGGTCCTACTTTTTTTCTTTCCGTGTCTTGAGCCTGTGCATCTATTTTTCTTCTTCCTCCACCATACGACCGATATTGTCTCCACATCCTTCTCTATATTTGTACTCTACTCGACCGTTATTGTTTCCACGTCCTTCTCTATATTCGTACTCTACTAAAAAAAACAACACCAGTGTCATCAGACTCTCTTAGGTCAAAGCGCAGAGCATACACAAACTTGTTTATTATCATCCTAGACTGGACATTGTCATCATTGCCGTCGATCTTTGCTCTCTGTAAATATACCTGGTGCGCATCATGGATGTGCTAATAAATTACAAAACATCGGTCTCATTATAGCAAAGATCGTACATAACAAGGCAGTTCACTCCTCTCTTTGAGCCAATTAATTAAAAAGTGTCCTCTTCGAAAAAGTGCGAACTTTGTGAACAGAGTTACCCTGCTTGTGTGAAAAACATACAAAGACTGCAGCGCCATCTGAATCAATGTGCGGACTTCCGCGGACACTTTTTTGGCTGAGTGAACCATCTTGTTATGTATGATCTTTGATTATAGTTGAGGACGCATGCAACATTTTGTTCTGTTTTTGTAAGTGTTTTACGGCGCTGGCAACTGCACAAACAATCTTTTCCTGACTTGCTCACATAACTTGGTTTCAAGAGTAAAATGGTGTGCTCCAAGGTGAAGCAGGATTACGTCAGAGTGAACAGTCGTAGATATTATCAAACAACTCTATGAGTATATTATCATAATGTGCCTTTTCAAAATAAATGAAACGACTATTCTACGTGTCGCTAACTTGGAATCACAACGTTCTATCTACTCAGTACCTAATTTTGAAAAATTTGTCGTAAAAATGTTTCGAATTACACAAAATGTATTTTTTTTACGAATGCAATTTATTGAATATCTCGTAACGACTCCGAATATTCTTACAATTTTGCTAGACAAGATAGAACGGTTGGCTTCAGATCTCAGGATCTTTTAGTAACTCAAAATGGCGTACACTGTCAGATAGAACTATGTAATTCTGAATCAGCGATCGCTGTAACTATAAAGATATTAAATGTGAGGCAGCGTGGTGGAGTCAGGCTCTCGTCAAAATAATCAAAGTGAAGAAGCTTGCATTTTTCCACAGGTTTGTGAATTTTTATATAATTTTCGTTTTTCGGCTCAACACCTTTCATGTCCATAAAAGAACTCATTTCTGTATGGATTTTTTCTGAAAAACGTTGATTAAAGGCACAAAAATGTAAATTTTCAGTTACCACGGACTCTTAAGCTAAGGAAATAACTCATCTTTGGCGGCCATTTTGTCACTAACCTTACCTCTGAAAACGGGCGACCCCCACCCCCTTCATTCGAAAATATTTCGACTTGTGTTCAAGATAAATGAACGTTTTTCCCCCCAAATAAAGACAAATGAACAAGCTTTAAGATGATACCAAAAACTCTACATGCTCAAAAACTGACGAGAGCCTGATTCCACCACGCTGCCTCACAAATAATGAAATTAAAACATAATTAACCAACAAGGTGGTTGATTGTTCTTACATTAATAGAGGGCACCCTAGCGACCGAGTCGGGTTGTATGCCTGTCTCAATACTCGCCGAAACCAACTCCCACTCGCCATTAGGAATGAGGCTCTGGAGATTCACAGTCGTGTTATCTGGGACAAACTTGATCTGCCATCCATTTTGCGACATGCTGAGGAGCTAGATCATATATATGCAGTGTGTTACTTAAGAGCAACGATCTATGAGACAAAGTATAATATACAGTGTATGTTCTAATGTAGATATTGGTCATAGAGAGCCTAGCCCCTGACAGATCCACCTGGAAAGCAGAAGTCACAGTAGGAAGGAAGATATTTGAAACAACATATTATTATACATATATATTATATATATATATATATATATATATATATATATATATATAAAATAATATATATTATATATATGTATATTATACACATGTGTACATTTAATATATATGTATATATATATATATACACATATATGTGTATATTATATAGGCATATGTATAACGTTATGGGTGTGCTGTGTGTGTGTGTGTGTGTGTGTGTGTGTGTGTGTGTGTGTGTGTGTGTGTGTGTGTGTGTGAGTGTGTGTGTTTATGTGTGGGTTTGCGATAGATTACATTAATATAAATCCCAAATGCCTAAGCTGGTAAAGGATTCTGACTTCCAGGTTAACGCACCATCTAGCCTTGAACAATTTTACAATACCCAATACCCCAGGCTATTGTCTGGGAAAGATAGGAAGACACATCTGTTCACACAGACCGCTAATAATTCACCCCGTACCCTCAGGACACAAATCTGTTCGTCAAAAGGAAAGTTGGTCACATCCATGGAACAGGATACCAGGAAGAGGCCACCTGGATACCAAACGGTAAGTCCAGAATCCAGAACGTGCATAGGTCTGTGGAGAATGATGTTTTAGCACAGACTGAGGTGAGAATTGTTGGGAGAGAAAATTCAAAATGATAGGTCATTGTCAGTTTGTATCCTGAAACACAGAAAATTGGTCGCTTTTTAGGACAAGCGGGCTAACTCAGATTTCAGGGGTTTTCAGAAATCTTGACCCACACTAAAAGTGGGTATTGCCCTACCTATAGGAGAAGTTTGATTTCTTTGGTGTGTATATTTGTTTGATTATATAGGAAACTCTCCCTGTCTTTTATAGAAACTAAACAAGGGGCAAAATCTTTACCTTCGATTTTCTCAAAACAATTTTTTTTTCGGGAAAGCCCCCTTGTGCTTAAAAGCGCCCAATTCACAAGGTTACATAGTAGTCCACTTGGCCAGACGTTCCCTTGAAATTCTGGGGGGGGGGGGGGTTAAATCTCAGTCCCACAATGAACGTACAACGCGGCTTACTAAATGATATAATTAAATGTTTTAAACATATTATCTGCATAATATTATTGTCGTCAGATTCATAATAGATAAATGCCTACGTCATTTTAAGCCATTTTGATATAATAAGAAACAACTCTTTCGAACAACTGACTCTGTGAAACACTTGAATTTTGGTACTCTCAATTTGATTCCATATTTGAATTACTCTTTTGTACAAGTAAATTATATAACAAACCTGGCTCTGCTCTATATCATTTCAAAACCAGAAACCCCAAATAGGCCCCAAAAAATGACTTAGGCAATTATCGTATGAGGGTGACGTTATACAATATGTGAGGCAGCGCGGTGGAATTAGGCTCTCGTCAAAATAACAAAAGTGAAGAAACTTGCATTTTTCAACAGGTTTGTGAATGTTTATATCATTTTTGTTTTTTGGCTCAACACCTTTCTTGCTCATTAAAGAACTAATTTCTGTGTGGATTTTTCTGAAAAACGTCGATTAAAGGCATAAAAAAATGTAAATTTTCAGTTACCACGGACTATTAAGCTTAGGAAATAACTAATCTTTGACGGCCACTTTCTCACTAATTTTACCTCTGAAAACAAGTGACCCCCAACCTCCTTCTTTCGCAAATATCTCGACTTGTATTTAAGATAAATGGATATTTTTTTCATCCAAATAAAGACAAGCGTACAAGCTTTAAGATGATACCAATAACTCTACATGCCCAAAAATTGACAAGAGCCTGATTCCACCACACTGCCTCACATATTATGTATTCCTCCACTGTTGATATCGACTGCAAATTTAGTAGCCGTCACTTGAGCAATTCAACACGTATTTATACCACAATACACTGCCCATTCATTTTTCTCTGTGAACTTCTGGTTTATATTATTATTAAAGCGTGTTATGTTCCTATTCAACTCTTTCAGCAATACCAACGTCTGTCAAGATGAGTTTCACGCGGATTTACAAAATAGCTTATTTTTAAGTATAATAATAATAATAGTAATAGTAATAGTAATAATAATAATAATAATAATAATAATAATAATAATAATAATAATAATAATAATAATAATGATAATATAGCATTTGTATAGCGCATGTCCCCACTCGAAAGCAAGCTCTAAGCGCTTTACACTATATTATTACCCCAGCAGAACATACTGTCAACAAGAAGATGAAACAATTATAACTAAAACTTAATATAACAATATTATAGCCACGTAGTTCAAGTTCAAAGGTCACACTTACGCAGGATCGTCCTCAAATAGGTCCCTGTCGCCCATTGTGTTCAGTAGGACAAGCCGAGGTCTCCACACTTGTTTTGGCATCGGTTCGATTATGTCAACACCTCCGTACTTGCTGGAGTCCCAAGCTGCTCGCTGAGACCGTTTTTGAGTAAACGTTAAGGTCAAGAAAACTTAGGTGAAGGATAAGGTATCTTTATGTCTTTATTTATTAATTAATTTATTCTTGAATACTAGCAAACAACGAAATAATAATGGGTTTTTTTTTCCTCGTTTGTCCAGTTTGCTTTTTCTACCCACCACCTCCCCATACAGTCCCCCCCTCTCTCTCGCTCTCTCTCTCTCTCTTTCTGTCTGTCTCTGTGCCCTCTCTCTCCCCCTGTCTCTCCCTCTCTCTTTCTGTCTCTCTCTCTCTCTCTCTCTCTCTCTCTCTCTCTCTCTTTATGTGTGTGTGTGTATGTGTGTGTGTGTGTGTGTGTGTGTGTGTGTGTGTGTGTGTGTGTGTGTGTTTGTGTGTCTAACCCTCCCAACTTTCTCCGCACTTTGTATGTGTTTATATATTAAGTAATTTGACGACTGTTCTTAAAGACCATGTGTTGTCAGGCTTTCTATACGACTATGAAAGTAGGACAATTAACAATTATAATTAAATAATGAAAATAAAATAGAAGTAATAGAAATTTATTTATGAGGCTTTTGACAATTTCATAGAACGAACAGAAGTGGAAAAACTCACTGGCAAAAAAACCCAACAACAACAACAACAAAAAATTGAACAAATAGAAGGCAAACGAGGTAGGCGTAGACATAAAGAAACTCAATTGGATAACCAGCAGAGATTGGGGATAGGATGATACATTATTATAGTTTTCTTTGTGGGTTTTTTAGCTCCCGAGCGAAAAAATTGACTGGGGAACCATGAATTCCGATGTATGTTTCAGATCTGGCACTTTGTGTTACGATGATGACGTATACTATGGGGATACATTAATCAGTCAAAACCGTTAGTTACATGATACTATATTGTAAGAGCGTCTGTCTCCTACTCCCCCCCCCCCTCGACCTACACACACACCCCACCCACCAGCCTCCTCCTCGACGCACACGCACACACACACACACACACACACACACACACACACACACACACACACACACACATACACACATACACACATACGCACATACACACACATACACACATACACACATACGCACATACACACACATACACACATACACACATACACACACACATAAACACACACACATACACACACACATACGTACACACATACATAGGCACACACCTCGTCCATCCAGCTGAGTGCGAGAAAACCGTTGCAGGTAAACGTCTGACTCACGTCATCCAGACGCTCTATGGCCACCATTGTGAAGCCCACGTAGATTGGCATCACCTCAGATTGGTTATTCATGGGCCTCACCTGGGGGAATGACGTGATCATGAATACAATGATGTAATTATTTGTGTGGTGTGCTGACAAAATCAGTTACTTCTCGCAATCCACAAATGGAGACATTGGCCAAAAATCAACACCGAGGTCAAATTAGTATATCTTGCTATTGATCTTCATTTTAAGGAACAGCAACGAGAAGAGTATTTGTAAGAGCTGAAAGAAATCTTGAAAGGGCTGTTATTTCTGAAAACGAGTAATATCTGGAACATTCCCGATCCAAAAATACAAGATGAAAATATTTTGATAAGAATTAATAAATTTTTTAATATAACATTAGCGTTTAAGACTATGATTTGCCGGGCAACAAGCAAGTAAGATAATGCTCTACGTAAGAATACTTTCCTCAAGTTCTAAAATTCTACCCATCTTACTTTGCATACTTATTACATCGTTTGTTTTAGGAATCCGGATTGTCTCCATCTCTTAGTGTGAGTAAGGGTGAATTGCACATTTCTGAATTTCCTTTTATGCTTGCGATACGCCAGTCATGCAGTGCGTTAGCTTGTTGTACAAGAAGAACAAAAAAAAATTTTTTAATTTCAAGTACTTGCCTTCGTGGAATAAACTCCAGAATCGTACTTCGTGTCGAAAATAGCTTTCACATCTTCATAGGTCTGCGCTGAAACGGCCAGGAAGGCGAGGTACAGCACTGGTAATGTGTTCTTCATCCCAGACGAACGATTAGTCCCCAACAACGAGTCAAGTTTGTTTCAGACCGAACTAAATTCGAAGTAAGGATGCCATCAAAGTTGGCTCGGGGATCTAAGACACCTAAACTAAACCAGATCCCTGACCAACTGATTTTCGTAAACCGTTTTTTTTCGTACTCTTAGGCAGCCTCTGCTGGAAATAGCTCACATCAAATGTTTGTTGAAACTAGTCCCTGTTATTTTGTTTAAACGAACCTGTAAACAATCTAACAACCGATCAATCCTGATATCTGAGTGGGTCTGTGAGTTATTTCAACACTTCTAAAGACAGTGCAATTAAGTGGATTGCACGTAATAGCTTCTAATATCTCGACCATAGTGGTTAAAGTTAGACTCGAGTAAACAGGCTAAACAAAATGAGGTCTCAGTGTGAATTTGTTCCTTTAAGAACATGAATTCCCAATTGCAGATATGTCCATTTTACCCCTCGCATGAGTTATTATCCTAAACATTTAGTTTTGCCCGTAGGTGCATGCAGTTTAATGTTCCTGGTCGACTTGTTCATTTAAAATTTAGAAATAATAAACCTTGCACCTGAACGCCTGTTTAGGATTAAACATA